AGAGGAGCGGGTGGGTGTGACAATCTAGAGATGCTACACGCGCTGCTGCTGGCAACTTGCAAGGGGGCGTTTTGGGAGCGGGCTGGTGTGACGATCTGGAGATGCTTCCATCTCTATCTGTCCTCCACTCCCCGTCCCCCTCTCCTGGCAGTGGCCAGGAGTGCCAGAGGTGGCAGAGATATGATTGGGTCTGCTGGAAGCATGTGTGGGCGCAGGGGCAGACCTGGTTGGGGGCTGATGAGGCGAATTCCCGTCCCGATTCCCCCATCCCTCCCACCTCCCTACAGCGGCCAGGAGTGCCAGAAATGGCGGAGATATCACTGGGTCTGCTGGAGGCGTGTGTCGGCGCGGGGGCAGACCTGGTGGGCGGGTCGGGGATTCATTCAGGAGGGAGCAGCGTGGGAGTGGGCGGGTGTGACGATCTGGAGATGCTGCACGCGCTGCTGCTGGCGCACATGGGGGTGTTTGAGGGGCTGCAGGCGACGGCTGAGAGAATCACATTCGGGGCGGCAGCTAAAGTGTCGATTACCGGAGGAATCACTCTGGTGAGCTCGTGGGTTTGAGTTGAATACGAAGACTGACGGTATGATAAGGCATGTGTGTTGGTGGGATGGCATGCAGTTATAATGGTGGTGCTGCTGCTGGCGCACATAGGGGTGTTTGAGGGGCTTTAGGCGACGGCAGAGAGGATCACGTTTGGGGTGGCGGCTAAAGTGTCCATCGCTGGAGGAATCACTCTGGTGAACTGGTGGGGCAAGGGCGTGGAGTGGGTTTGTGAAACTGGGTGGAATGGAGATTGGGTGGTGGATTGGATGGGAACGCACAGGGTGTGGAATGGCATGGCGTATGGAGGAAAGGGTGGGGTGTGCTGCTGTGGTGTCGATGCTGCATGCACTGCTGCTGGCGCTGCTGCTGGCACTGCTGACCACTACGAGGTGCAAGCAGCAGGCATGGGCATGCTCAATGAAGCGCCTCAAAACTCCTGTGACCACCAATTTTCTCCCCATGTGTCCACACCACAGGTGAACATCAAGGAGTTGAGAGACCACTACGAGGTGCAGGCAGCAGGCATGGGCATGCGGCTGGGCAGCATTACAGAAGAGCAAGCGCTAACTGTGATTCGCAAGAAGGGCATGAGTGGACTGAAGGTGAAGCCACGTCATGTGGGCCCCACACACGTGTACTCGGAGGGGACTGCAGAGCTCCGGATTCTCACTGCTGCCACCCGCCTGCTGGTGACACACCACCGGAGAAATTTCTGGTCGTTGCTGCCGAAGCTAGAGCTTGAAAACTATTGATTTGGGATGTGTGATGGTTACTAGCAGGGCCTGTGCTAGGATTTAGGGCACCCTGAGCCCTCAGGGCAACTTTTGAAAACTTTCTAAAATTCCCTGATTTTTCAGGGCAAATGTCCCTGAAATATCAGGGCACAAGCAGAAATTCATATGGATGTTTCAAGGTAAAAATAGCAGGAGGGGAAGGCACGAAAGGAGCAGGTTGTCCAGTGGTTTCACTACAACTAGCTGAGCAAAAACTTTGGAGGGAGAGGGGTGGGGACGAAACTAGCACACACCCCCCCCAGCCTCCTTCCTCCCCTCTCCCCCTCTCCCCCTCCACCCCTTCTTCCCCTTCCCACGAGTCAGGGCATCCCTCTACATTCACCCTAACGCTTCAGGGCAAAATTTCACTGCCATCCTGAAATTCCAGGGCAAAACACGTGAATCATCCTGACGCCACAGCCACAGGGTGAATTTTAGCGTCATTCTGAAATTTCAGGGCAAACTTAAAACACCATCCTGAAATCAGGGTAATCAGGATGTTTTTCCCTGATATCGTGGGCCCTGGTTACTAGTTAGTGATGCACCACGCAGTGTTCGATTAACGTCATGTCATTTGCATCTGAGGTACCTATATTCAGTGTGTCCTAGAAATTTCATTTTCAGTATACAAACTCATGCTTTGAGAACAATGATGCAAACTGGTGTAGAACAACTTGCGGTAGAAACTTCCTGGACATTCTCCGAGTATGATCTGGGTTTGGTCAGGTTGGGTTCAGGCAAGTCGTGCAACGACTGTCAGGTTGGGTTCAAGCAACCATGGAACCTCAATTGCACGAGATGCTCCATTTTTTAGCTGGTGACAGTTGGACATTCCAAACTCCATCAATCTCGACAAACAAGACTTCCCACTGATTTATGTTTGCAAGCTGGTCACAAAGAGAAAAATCTAGTGAGATGATTCATTCGTCTTTCACACGCGGTTTCTGGTTCCCGCGAACGCGGTTTCTTCTGCTTTTGCAATCTTTTACGATCTCTCTGAATTTGAAGCGTCACGACAGTCCAACTGCTAGGACAGTCAATGCCAAATTACCGAATCCAGGTCTCGATTCAGAATCAAATATTAGGATCCATGTCAGCTTCGAGCTTGCATGGGGGTTTTATTCATGGGTTATTATACGAATGGTCACTAAACAGAACGCGCTATCACGAATGGTCATGGGATTATCAAGAACGGTCAATGAAACAGGCGATTCTATCACGGATGGTCACTGGTTAACACGGATGGTCACTCGTCGCCCCACGAGGCTATCACGAATAGTCACTGAAAGAAACGCCCGCCCGAAAGTTGAAATTCTCCCCCTTAAGACCTCTCACTGTTACGATTGAGGGACTGTTAGCGCGTTTATTCTGTTTGTCTTTTTCGAGTTGCACTGTGATAGTCTTTTGATAGTAACAGTGGTTGTGGCCGGTGACAACGACAGATAAAATGGTACGTTGAGAAACAATCCGGTCCCATCATAATAACTATCACATGAGCCCTATATGATGGGATAACAATATAACCCTCTTATTTATATATGTTGATATGCAGTTTGCATTCACAATATGATGGCAAAAATAACCAATAAAACTATCTATGGCAATACGTTGCACACTTATGAATCTAGGCTTCTCTCGTTTTTGTAAATCCATGGTACGCAGTTTAGGTAACCCGTTTTATACTATATGGGGTGTTTGAACTGCCTGTAACACAAGAATGTTACTCAGTTAGGCTTCTACTAGGAATGTTGCGCTTTCCTACGGTTGGAACAGTGCAACTCGAAAAGGACAAACAGAATAAACGCGCTAACAGTCCCTCAATCGTAACAGTGAGAGGTCGTGAGGGGGAGAATTTCAACTTTCGGGCGGGCATTTCTTTCAGTGACTATTTGTGATAGCCTCGTGGGGAGACGAGTGACCATCTGTGATAACCAGTGACCATCCGTGATAGAATCGACTGTTTCATTGACCGTTCTTGATAACCCCATGACCATTCGTGATAGCGCGTTCTGTTTAGTGACCATTCGTATAATAACCCTTTATTCATTAATGGAAAGTGACAACAGTTCTCGATTGTCGCGGACCACCTGAAAAAAATCTGTGGTGGAGCTGAAACCTTGGAACGGTGGGGGCGGCTGATTGAAGCAGCATGCCTGCACGTTGATCAAGTGCAATCTCATTGTATACGTCCTAATCTTGTAGGCATTTCCTTTGGCTCCGCAAACAAGCCCTTTGTGCAGAAAAAGAGTGTCCTAGTGCACACAATCTGGTTATTCGCGAATTACCACACACTGTAATACATCGTTATTGCTTCGCGCAGGGAAGCCTTATTTTGGGGCCTATTTTTTCCTTTTGCCAACATCACAACCCTTGCGCCGAACCCACACCGTCACCGTCACAAAAAGGACAAAATACGACAAGAAACGACAAAACAAGAGGGAGGAAATGCTACAGTGCTTTAGATTCTCAAATCCTTTTCCCGATTCTTGTTTCCGATTCCCTCCGGACCGGAACTAGGGATGCAGTCGCGCGGAAGCAGCATTCCCTCCCGCTTGCTTGCCTGACATCAGGCGAGCCGGAGGGGCTACACACCGCTCGATCAGTTGCCGGAACCGTCGGACAAATGCTGCCGATTGGTTGATTTGTTCATGTGTGGATGTGAACCACCTGCCACACGCGGTATTCAAATGCGCGTCGTCCCTAATCTCTGTCCTGCTGGAATGCCAGACAAATCGAAACACTTGCTGATTCATGAATAGTTCGGTTCTTCTCGGTCTGCATATGTTTAACCATTGTTTCCATGGTACCGCAGATGTTTGACCACAACGCACCCACAAGTGCAGCTCCTAAAAAAGGAGTGGTTCTTCCACAGCCATTCACTCTCCATGGAGCAAGCCGAGAGAATTGGACGTTCGATTTTGAACCTCATGCCCATATGTCACATTTCTCACCGTACTAAATCGTTCTGTAGCATACCCAACACAATAGACGAGAACTGCACAAGCACACCAGCTGGACATAGAAAAGGCGGGAGGTCTCATACCATAGTACTTCCACGACACCAAACAAGCGGCGTAGAGTTCTCACAAGAGAAAACTGCATTTTCCGTCTCTCAGCTAGATACCGCCGTTCCTCTCGGGACGATTTCACCTTCTGAAGACAATCTGAAACTCTTGTAGGAGCGTCATTTTCTGTATATAGATTCACGGCCAGCATCAATCAACAGCTGATATAAAAAAAACAGATCGTTTGAGCGTTTTGTGTTTTAATACGTGCATTCCGTACCATCGTGTGGTCTCAGTCTATCCATAACATTTGGATAGAGACGTCGAGATTCTTGTCCAAATGGAGTCTTTCAAAAGAGTAAAGCTCGGCCCGAATGAGTTTGCGTTTTCGCAGCCCGCATTCTTCGGTGTTCCGTCTCTCCATTGCAACACCATCTCGAAGCCGAATTTTTCTTCCGGCGACAAAAAAGCTCCAGCTTCTGCGATTTTCGCTGACGCGGTGGCGCCTCGAGCCCAGAGTTTTTCGCGCGAGGTTCAACGACCCGTCGCTGGCGACGGCTGCGATTCAACGACGACGCGTCGCACGTGCCACTTCGATCGCGTGCCCGACGAGCTGGTCGCGGAAATCGCGCGCTGCGTCTTCGCTAAAGCGCAATCTGCGGCGGACGTTGCGGGGATGCTCGTGACATGCAGGCGGTTCAGCAGCGTTTGCCACCCCGCTGCCAGCTGGTCGCTACGCGCCTCGGCCGCCATCGAAATGCTTCTGCCGGCAGACGCAGCGCGATGGACGGCGGCGGCGCAGCGGCTGCTCCTGAGCGCCGCGGCGGAGGGCAACCTTGAGGCGATTTACGTTGTGGGCATGGTGAGTCAGCATTTGCCGACTCGGCGCATTCTCGTGTTCGCGCGAGCATTTTCCCTCACTGTCGACTCTCCAACATATCTTTCTATTTACCCCCGCGTTTTGAGTCTTGACTTACTAATTCCCCCACTTCCCCTCCACCTCCCCGCGCATTCTTCCCCACTCTTCCCCTCCAGATCTCCTTCTACTGCCTCAATAACCACTGGGCGGGCGCGAAGCTCCTCGCGCAAGCGGCGGAAGCGGGGCACGGCGCAGCGATGTACTCTCTCGCAATAATCAACTTCCACGGCAGCGGCGGCGCGTCGGACGACGCGAATCCCGAGGTCGGCGTGGAGCTGAGCTGGCGCGCCGCGCGGCTCGGGTTCCTCCCCGCGTTACAGGAACTCGGGCATTGCTTTTTAGACGGGTACGGCGTCGCGCAAAGGACGTCCTTGGGGCAGCTGCTGCTGCAGCACGCGGCGGCGGGGCTGGCGGAAGCGGACCGGCGGAGAAGCGCGAAGACAAAGGCGCGCTCCGCGCCCGTTTCCCCCGCGTGCGCGGAAGCAGGAGCGGCGCGAGTGGAGGTTCTGAAGGAGGGGAAGCGGAATCCGCAGTCACAGCAGCAGCCGCAGCAGCGGGAGCTCCGCAGCATCGGCCGCTCGCGCAGCTGGCCGCAATGCCTTGTTTCTTGCCCCGGCGGCGGAGTCTCCGCCTCCGCCCGCGCGCGCGCCGGCGCGAGAGGTGACTGTAACGAAGCGTGCGGCAGGGGGATGCTGCGAGGCGCTGACGCTGGAGGCGCGAGGCTTAGGGGGGATGTGACTGTAGAGGGCAGGGGGAACGGTGGCGCTAGAGGCGCGGGGGAAGGAAAGGAAGTGAGGGAGATCAACGGTCGCGATGACGCGCAAGGGGAGGAGCGGCAGATGCTTAGAGAGGCGGAAAGCGCGCAAGCGCCATCTGAACGGGTCGCGGATCGAACCATGGTTTTCTCACTCTGTTCCGAGGAGGAAGAGAGAGAGGAGGGGCAAGAGGGGCAGATGCGGCAGGGGGCGGAAGGGGAGGAAGACGCAATGGGAATGTTGCTGTTGCTAGAGGAGATTGCTGGGGAGAGAGGCGTGGAGGGAGCAGAGAGCAAGCAGGAGAGCGAGCTGGAAAGCCAAGGGTTTGAGGCTTGCTCTTTATCCCTGGAACTGTCCCTCTCGCCGCCTTCGCCTGTCTGTGAATCAGCAGACGCTATTGCTGCTTCTGCTGCTGCTGCTGCAGATGCTCTAGCTGGTATTCTGAGAAGCTATGGGGGCGTGTGTAGAGAGGACCAAGACTCTTGGATAGACTCAGAGGATGATGAGAGTGATGAGGAGGGGGGTGAGGAGATGGAGGAGGAGAGGGAGGAGGAGGAGGAGAGGGAGGAGGAGGAGGAGAGGGAGGAAGGGTCAAGCAGCCCACTGCTCTCTGCTGCGTCCTTCGCCTCTCTCGCTTTTATTCGGCAAATGCTCCCGCTTACCGCCTCTACTGCCGCCGCTGCTGCCACTGCTACAGCTGCTCTGGCTGTAGCCGCCACGTCAGCAGCTGCCGCATCCACCGCAGCCCTCCAGCTGGCGTTTCCGCGGCCGCAGGCCGCCCATCGCGTGCACGACTTCCTCGCCAGCTGGCACGCGCTGCGCTCGCTGCCAGTTGGCAGGCGCTGCTGCGGTAACCCTGCGTGCTGCCGCCCGGAGACGAGGGAGAATGAGTTCAGGAGTTGTGTGCGGTGCGGGAAGGCCAAGTACTGCAGTCGGTCGTGCCAGGTGGCTGATTGGAAGTTCAGGCACTCCTTCATCTGCTGCCCTGAGTAAGAATTGGCCTTTGAGATGCTTCGCAAGAAATTTCAGGGAGTTCGAGGCATTCTTTCACTTGGTGCTTGGGCTCCGGGCGGCACTGCCTGTTCATTCAGATACTATGCCCACATGCCCCGCAAGCTGCAGGTGCTACACACGGCACAAGATAGGAAAGGGGGCATTATACGGAAGGGAGAACATCCATAGGATACGTACATTAGTTAGAATGGCTTGTATTTCTGTAGAGCTCAATGAGTTGCCTTGTTTGCCAGCTTGGTATATTATTAGTGAGCCATCTTTTTATATGTGGCAAAACAAGAACCAGCAAAGCCTGCAGGAGTAAGTACATTTTTTTTTCCCGAAGTACATGTATTTCTCATTGGCGATACCGTGTAAGGATTTTTTCAGCATTCCTCACCGCGTTCTTCAACATCGCGTACAGCAGCAGCCGTTGTTCGCCCATTAGGGCATGTTCCTACGGTCCCTTATCAGGCCAACCTCTTATCAGGCTCGCGTCACAACACACTGAAATTTCCCTAAACCCAAAAACCTTCGCGAATTTTACCAAGCAATAATGCGAAGCTCATACGAGGTGTCCCTGACTCCCTGGGGCAATAGGAACATGCCTTTACTACTAACGGGGCTTCGCCAACTTTGCGCGCGCTGTTTTATCAAACCTTGCACTGCTGGCCTGGCCGAGTCGGCCCTCGCTTGGGGACTAGCCCGAACCTCGATGCCAGCCTAGCACTAGCTAGCTCGCACGCACCGCGTAACCGTTGCATGTTTTCGCACATAAGTATTCACTCATACCTTCGCCCATTTTGTACTACTTCGATTCATTGCACCCGTAACGCTTGGTACGGTATCAGAGCCTCTTTCTTTCGGACCGCGCATCTCTGCACCCAGAGAAATCAACTTTTGATTTCTGCACTCGAAGGGACTCGCGCCCCTTAGCGCCTAGGAGCCGCTGTCCTCGCGTTCTCTCGTAAACGCGTGCAGCCACGAATTCCCCTAGAGCTAAGACGAGCCGCCGTCCTTCGACATGGCCGAGCATATCGAAGTCACGAACCTCGCGAGGAGCGTCTGAACGAACTGTTGCAGCAGCTGCGCGAAATTTCTAAAGAATTCGCGTTGCTGACGGCAGAACGTACGTCCCTGCAAAACGACGTCGCACGAGCGCAACAAGTATAGTCATAGACACACGGCATGCACGGACAACCTGCACGTCAAGCATCACAACACAGAAGTGTCGGGCAACCCTCGAGCGCGGCTAGTAATGGCGTCGTCCGCATCGACGGAGACGACGACCACGGCGCGATACACCCCGAGGCGACGAATGCGGCTAGAAGCCAACCTCGCGTCACGATTTTGGTGCCAACTGGCGAGTCACCACTGCCGTCGCCGATGCCACGCAAGCCGCAGCGTCCGCCTTGCTTCGACCCAAGTCAGCTGGGTGGTCCGACCGTTTAGGCGTGGTTGTTCACGATGAACTTATTCTTCGACGCCAACTACGTCTCGGAAGACTCGGCGAAGATTCGATACGCCATATCGCTGCTGCGAGGACCCGCCATGGACTGGTGGCGCGTCATCGTCACGAAGCCGGTGGACTACGCGACTCTACCGACACGGGAAGGACAAACCGGACCCTGGGCGCCGTCGTATTTCGTGGAGATGCCCCAGTATCGCACGTGGGACGCGTGGTGCGCAGGTCTGCGCGCACGATTTGAGTCAATCGCGGCTTCGATCGCGGCGCGTCAGAAGCTCCGCACTTGGCACCAGCTCGGTTCCGTCCAGGACTACACCAGCGGGTTTCTGGTGCTGTGTGAGCAGGTGGGCTACATGCACGAGGGCGAACGCATCGACCGCTACATCGGCGGCCTTAAAAACGAAATCGCCCAAGAAATCCAGCTCTGCAATGTCACTAAATTTCAGGATATTCTCGCTATGGCGGAGAAGCTTGACTTCTTACGCCGACCGAGACCGGGGTCCTTCGACAACAACAGTAACTGAGGACATCGGTCTCGTGGGATGAACGAGCACGCCACGATACGTGCCGTTGCCGCGAATGCCGCTGCCGCACCGTTCAAAGGGCGCTGCTTCGCGTGCAACCAGCCGGGACACCGTAAGATCGAATGCCCAGAAAACGCTAAGGGAAAGGGGGAAGCCGAACAGCAGAAACAGACCAAGCAGCAGGGAAACGCCGGGAGTCAGAAGCAGACGGACCCTCTACTGACAGGTCACGCCGCTCACCAAACCCAACCGACCCTCACCGAGTGATTGTGCCAATTCACGCAATTGACCACACCTGTCCGAATAAGCAGGATACATGGGTAGATAGCCCGATACTGCTTAGCGGGAAAATACAGGCAGATTTAGTTAAAATCTTCGTAGACGGTGGGGCTAGCCACAGCCTGATCAACACCGCGACAACACGGAGACTGAAAGTGCCACTTGAGAGGATCTGGTTCAGGAAAGAGAAATCTATTCAATGATACACCTGGGTACAAGGCGAGGCTATATATAGGCTCGACACAAAGGCAGTAACCCAGGTGTTACTAGAAGGTTTCGTAGGTCGCAAAGCGCCCCGAACGTGTCCTTCCCGAATTCGGTAGAAGGCAATTCGGTGGCAACCGAAAAGCCTAGATTTTGGTGCACTCAACCTAGTTTGGTGCCTATAACTATAATAAATATAGTAAAGCAACGAACCTAGGAAATCAAGCAAATGCATGCAAGATAAATTAAGCTAAGCTAGATAATGCATAATAAAGCAGAATCAAGCAAGTAAAGTCCAGCAAAGCCGCCGTACTCTCACACGTCCCCCCCTCAAAGCTGGGTGGCGTGAGAAACACCCTGCTTGACAAGATAATCCTTGAGAGCACGGCGTGTGTTGCCCATATCAGCTTCTGCAACCCAACTGTCCTCCGATGGGTCATATCCCTTCCAACGTATCAAGAACTTGAGCGTGTTGCCACGTCTGCGTCGATGAGCGATAACTCGTTCCACCTTGTACTCTGGTTCATCCTGTACGAGAACAGGTGGTGGTGGCGGTAGCTGGTGTCCCTGGAACTGTTGGTTGGGGTACTTGTAGGGCTTCAGTAGCTAAAGATGGAAAGCGTTGTGAAGCTTCCACGTAGTAGGTAAGCGCAAGTGGAATGCTACTGGTGTCACCTGTGCCGAAACGTGAAAATGACCACAGAAGCGAGGCCGGAGCTTGGATGGTAGGTGAGACAGGTTCAAGTTGCGCGTATCGAGAAGCACCTGATCTCTGACTGCTACGGTGTGATCACGTCGCTGGCGATCGGCGAGTCTTCTCCCATAGCTGCTGCATGGTGGTGACAAAGTCATGTGCAACTTGGACGTGTGCCGGTGTGGTTGGCTGCTGTGGTGTAAGTGGTTCCCGTTCGTAACACAGGAAGAAAGGAGATTTCCCTGTGGCCGCATGTGACGCGTTGTTGTAAGCGAAATCAAGTGTCAGTAACAGTGAATCCCAGTGGCTGACGTCATCTTTGCAAGCGGTGCGCAGTAACTGTTCAACCACCTGATTGAGTCGCTCTGTCTGTCCGTCAGTCTGGGGGTGGTATGCTGAAGACATTGCAAGCTTTGCCCCCAACAAACCCATGAGTTCCCTCCATAACTTACTAGTGAACTTTGGGTCCCTGTCTAAGATGAGTGTAGCGGGGATGCCGTAGATGCTGATGATGCGGTCGAAGAAGAGGCGAGCAGTTGCTTCAGCTGTAGCCGTGGCGTTGGTCGCGATGAATTGTCCCATCTTAGAGAACTTTTCAATCACCACGAGTATAGCGTCATGCCCTCGTGAGGTCGAAGGAAGCCCAGTGATGAAGTCGAGGCTAACGACTTGCCATGGCTGCTCTGGTACGGTTAGAGGCTGAAGTAACCCTGATTTTTTCTGCTTGCTACTCTTCATCCGCTGGCACGTGTCGCATGAGGTGGCAAACTACTGCATGTCTGCTGCCATCCGGGGCCAGTAGTAATACTTCGCTATCCCTGCTAACGTCTTGTTGCTCCCGAAATGTCCCGCGTATGGTACGTCGTGAAACTCCTCTGATAGGATCTGCTGTAGCGGGGCATAGCTTGGTACCCAAATATTTATTGTGCCCTTCCTTACAGCTAAGTCTTTCTCCCACTGTAACAGCTTCTGTTTCTCTGCCGTAGCAATCTCTGCGTCCACGAAGTACCCATGTTGGAATAGACCCTTGAGCGGAGGGTTCATCCCGTCGAGCTGGATGCCTGCTACATGTCCGGGGCGGCTCAACGCGTCTGCCTTGTTGTGTAACCCGGGTTTGTAGACGATGTCGTATTGGAAGTGAGTTTCCAAGAAGTCCACCCACCGCACTTGTCGTCGTGAAAGCGTCGACTGCGACTTCAGGTATTTGAGACTGCAGTGATTGGTGTAGACTGTAGTCTTGGCTCCCTCTAGGTAACACCTCCGCGCCTTGAAGGCTGTGACTATCGCTAAGGCTTCCTTGTCATGGATGGGGTAGTTCAGTTGTCCTCCGTGTAACTTCTTACTAAGGTAGGCGATGGGCAGCAAACTGTGTCCGTGATCCTGCATCAGTACCGCTCTGACTGTTTGGTCACTAGCGTCTGCTTCCACCACGTAGTCTTTGTCTGGATCCGGTAGGATGAGTACTGGCGCTGTAGTCAGTGCTGTCTATAGCCGCTCCATGGCTTGCTGTTGAGGAGTATCCCATTTGTAGGGCGTATCCTTTTTCAGTAAGTTGGTCGGTGGCGCTGCTATCTTAGCGTACTGCGGCACGAACCTGTTGTAGTAGTTGGCGAAGCCTAGGAACTGCTGCAACTCCTTCATGTTCTCCGGTACTTTCCACTTCTTGACGGCTTCGATCTTCCGCGGGTCCACGTGTACGCCCTCGGTACTCACCATGTTCTCGAGAAACTGCACCTTCTTCAGGGCGAAGTCTCTCTTCGACATCTTCACGTAGAACTTGTTCTCCCGCATGATCTTGAAGAATTTCCGCAAATGCTCCACATGCTCCTTCATGTTCTTGGAGTAGATGAGTATGTCGTCCAAGTACACCACTACGCATTCGTCCAACAGGGGCTGTAGGATGTGATTCATCTCCGCCTGGAACGTTGCTAGTGCGTTGCAGAGTCCGAACGGCATCACCAAGTACTTGGAGGAGCCGTATCTGGTACGGAATGCCATCTTGTGGATCAAGTTGTCTGCCATCTTGATCTGCCAGTAACCCGACCGTAGGTCCAGCTTTGAAAACACCGTTGCATCACGCAGTTGGTCTAGAAGATCATCTATGCGCGGTATGAGGTATTTGATTTTTACTGTCTGTCCGTAGCCGATGCACATCCGTAAACTACCGTCTGGCTTTGGAGTGAAGAGAACTGGTGCGCCATAGGGAGAGGTGGATGGGCGGATCAGTTGTCTGTCCAGTAGGTATTCGATCTATTTCTTCGTGTATGTCAGCTCGGTCAGACTAAGGCGGTATGGTGCACGTGAGACGGGTTTCGCACCTGGTTCCTCCACGATCTCGTGCTCGTGGGTTTGCGCTGGAGGCACCCCTGCAGGCAGGTCGTCTGGCATGATTTCATTGTATTCTGTTAACACCTCCTGTACTGCTGCAGGTAGCTCCGACTTCGGGCTTTTCCTCCTCTGTTGCTGCCATCACCAGTGCTAAGTAACCCGTGTTACTCTCGTTCACTATCTGTTTGAACAATGCAAGTGTCGTTTCAGGAACATCCCCTGTATCCGTCCAGCTTCACAGCTCCACACGTTTCCCATTGTTGTAGATGCACGTCTTCTGGTTGACCCTGTCTATCTCGGGGTTGAACCGCTTCAGAAAATCTCGCCCCAAGATGAAATCTAATTCCTTGATGTTCGTGATCGGCAACGTCGGCTTCCACCTTAACGCCCCTATCTGTAGCTGCAGTGTAGACTCGCCGTGGATGGGAAGCTTCGTGACGTCCACCATCATTGCTGTAAACTGGGTCTCCTCTGAGGATTCTCCAATTTTCTCCAACGTTCCGCGGTTGCACACCGAGTGTGACACACCACTGTCCACTAGTGCCTGGAGGCGTCGCCCGTTGCAGATCATCTCGAGGAGTAGTGGCTGCAGCTGCTACGAGTAGTTGTAGATGGTCTTGCTTACATGATCATAGGGTACGTCAAATATATCGTCCTTAGGTCCTGCGCTCGAAGCTGCTGACTCAATATCAGGTTTCACCTGAGTAGGGTTAGAAGGATTTATCCGAGGCTGGTACAGCTTCTCTTGTGCCTAGAACCTTCCCCTAAGCTTTTGCAGCTGTGTAGGCTTCACCTGTGGGGAACAGCGAGGAGCCTTAACACCGTGCTGCTGTGAGAGAATATTAATTCGTCGGAACGCTCGACCCTTATCAACGCTCCGGAATGGGGTCCCCATATTACACAGTACCGGTATAATTTCTGACTCTCCCTTAATAAAGGCTTGAAAACCGCGAGAAGTAATATTCTTACTTGTCGGGGTGTACGGCTGGAGTCTCCCTGTCGGCGCAGGGTCTTGTTTCGCGGAGTCTCCTTTTGTCTCGGCGATTTCCCCTGGTGCCGGCTGGTCGTGACGTTTTAAATTCGCGCCATCATATTCTCCTTTTTTCGCCCTCTCCGAAGTTGCCACGTTGTCCGTTTTCTGCTTCGGGGGTGCCGCACTGTTCTTGCCCTTCAGCTCCGCACGCATTTTCTTCATTTTCCAACACGACAAGATACGATGTCCTGTAGCGCCACAACATTCGTGCGTCTCGTTGTTTTCTAGCCGCTGCTTCGCATCGCCCTTGTCGTTCTCCATCGGGTCGGTAGTCGTGGGTGGTGCCGATCGCTCCATGCCACTATTTGGCTTGTTGCGTCGTGTTTCGTAGTAGCTACTGTTCAACGCATCGAACTGTTTGATCGGTGCTGCCCGAAACTGCGTCCACGTCCCTTTGCCTTGGACAAATTTGTTGTTGATCCACTCTAGAGCTGGGCCTCGTAACAGTGTTGCTGCGAGCCGTATGCGCATCGCGTCTTGGGTGGGGGTCGTGCATCCAACAGCTTCGAGTTAAATTTCGAATTCAGCTACGAATCGACGAACATCGCTCCCTTTCACTATAGGATCGTGTGAGAATCCTAGCGTGACTTAGGAGCCATGGCTAGTGAGTGTCGAGTGAGTTCAGTGTCGAGAGAATTGGGTGAGGAAAGTCGAGAAGGAAGAATGGGGGTTTCACTATAGAAAGTTGGGATACAAATAGCAAACCCTAAATTGGGTTGTACTCACTACAGAGTACCCCACTGTAGGCTAAACAGCAAATACATTCTGACACACCCCCATAGTCAAAGTGGGGTATAATCAGCAGAGCAAGCAGTCATAGAGCAGGTTCACAAGTACAAGCAAAGCTAGAGGCATACACAAAGGGCAAGTGAGGAGGAGGAGGCTGGATTGTGAGAGGAGAGGAGATGGGAGGCAACGGCTGATGCTGCAGACACACGGGCAACAGAAGCGGCGCGCACGGTGGCTACCAGAGCACATTTCCCCGGACTACAGGAGTAACTGGCTCTGCGGCTAACTCTGAGCGGCAGGAGCAACAGACCCACGGACGACAGGCGCAGCAGGCTCTCTGAGCTACCAGAAGCAGAGCCTTGGACTACAGGTGCTGCGGACGACAAGACGGCAGCCTCCGCTCAACCTCCCTCAACTGTCCCACCCCCCTTACACACACCCCTTGCTGCACCCCTAGCTCCACTCCCACGTCACCCCCCTAGCACCACTCCCTCGGCTCCCACACACCCACCCCCCTCAGCGGCAGCTGCAGCAGTGGGAGACGGAGGAGGAGGAGGAGCAGGGGACGGTTCACACACCCGCCACCCCCATACCCGCCACCCCGCAGTTGCACCCACACCCGCCACCCCCATACCCTCCCCCACTGCTGTACCTGCAGCAGGGGATGGAGGAGAAGGGGGAGGGGGGGGGGGCGGGGGGGGGGCTGGTGCTGCAGATCCCCTCCCCCCCACTGCTGCACCCGCAGCAGGGGGAGGTAGGAGAAGGGAGGGGGGGGGGGGGGGGGTGGGGCGGGGGGGGGGCTGGTGCTGCAGATCCCCTCCCCCCCACTGCTGCACCCGCAGCAGGGGGAGGTAGGAGAAGGGGGGGGGGGGGAGGGGCTGGTGCCGCAGATCCCCTTCCCCCCCCACTGCTGCACCCGCAGCAGGGGGGAGGTAGGAGAAGGGGCGGTGCAGGAGCCGCTCGGGCGACAACAGGTTGGCCACACCCACCACCCCCATACCCTCCCCCACTGCTGCACCTGCAGCAGAGAGACGGAGGAGAAGGGGGGGGGCGGGGGGGGGGGGGGGGGGCTGGAGCTGCAGATCCCCTCCCCCCCACCGCCACACCCGCAGCAGGGGGATGGAGGAGAAGGGGGGGGGCAGGGGGGGGGGGGGGCGGTACAGGAGCCGCTCGGGCGACAGCAGGTTGGCCACACCCGCCACCCCCATACCCTCCCCCCACTGCTGCACCAGCAGCAGAGAGATGGAGGAGAAGGGGGGGGGCAGGTGCTGCAGGTCCCCTCCCCCCACTGCCGCATCCGCAGCAGGGGGATGGCAGATCCCTTCCCCCCCACTGCTGCACCCGCAGCAGGGGGAGGTAGGAGAAGGATGAGAGGGGGGGGGGGGGGGGGGGGGGTCGGTGCTGCAGATCCCCTCCCCCCCTCTGCTGCACCCGCAGCAGGGGGAGGTAGGAGAAGGGTGGGGGACCTGGTGCTGCAGATCCCCTCCTGCCTCCCCCTGAACCTCCAAGCTCCCCCCCCCTCTCCCACCACAAGGTGCGGCAGGGAGAGAGAGAGGAGGAGGCGTGGCGGCAGCTGCTGCTGCTGAGGCACATCCGCCACCCCCTCACACCCTCTCCCCGCCATACCCATGGAGGGGGGGGAGGGGGGGGAGGGGGGCGGGGGCGGAACTGCGCGTGCAACTGTAGGGCACGCGGGCAGGAAGAACCCCCTCTTGCCACCCCCTCACCCACGATGTTGCAACAGGGCACCGGGGCCGCGGTTAGGGGCGGCAGGTCGCGAGGGGCCATGGCTAGGGGCGACGGGGCCATGGCTAGGGACGGGGCCGGGCGATGGGCAGGTACGGGGCCAGGCGCTGGGCAGGGACTGGGCCGGGCGCTGGCAGGTACGGGGCCGGGCGCTGGGCAGGTACGGGGCCGGGCGCTGGGCAGGTACGGGGCCGGGCGCTGGGCAGGTACGGGGCCGGGCGCTGGGCAGGTACAGGGCCGGGCGCTGGGCAGGTACGGGGCCGGGCGCCGGGCAGGTACGGGGCCGGGCGCTGGGCAGGTACGGGGCCGGGTGCTGGGCAGGTACGGGGCCAGGCGCTGGGCAGGTACTGGGCCGGGCGCTGGGCAGGTACGGGGCCAGGCGCTGGGCAGTTACGGGGCCGGGCGCTGGGCAGGTACGGGGCCTGGCGCTGGGCAGGTACGGGGCCGGGCGCTGGGCGCGGAATGGGGCCGGGCGCGGGGCTAGGTACGGGGCCGGGCGCGGGCTAGGTACTGGGCCGAGCGCAGGCAAGAGACGGGGCCGGGCGCTGGGCGAAGGACGGGGCCAGGCGCGGGCTTGGTACGGGCCGGGCGCGGGCTAGGTACGGGGCCAGGCGCGGGCGAGGTACGGGCCAGGCGCGGGGCTAGGAACGGGGCCGAGCGCGGGCTAGGTACGGGCCGATCGCGGGCTAAGTACGGGCCGGGCGCGAGGCTAGGTACGGGCCGATCGCGGGCTAGGTACGGGACCAGGCGCGGGCGAGGTACGGGCCGGGCGCGGGGCTAGGAACGGGGCCGAGCGCGGGCTAGGTACGGGCCGGGCGCGAGGCTAGGTACGGGACGATCGCGGGCTAGGTACGGGGCCAGGCGCAGGCGAGGTACGGGCCGATCGCGGGCTAAGTACGGGCCGGGCGCGGGCGACGGTGTCGACGGGGCCAAGGGGCCGAGGCGACGGGGCCAAGGGGCCGAGCCTAGGGGCTCGGGGCGACGCCAAGGGGCGACGGGCCGGGGCCTAGGCTAGCAGGGCAGTAGGTGGTGGGCCCATTAACATTAGGTCCTAGGAAAGTTATGCTCTTAATACCATGTGAGAATCCCAGCGTGACTTAGGAGCCATGGCTAGTGAGTGTCGAGAGAGTTCAGTGTCGAGAGAATTGGGTGAGGAAAGTCGAGAAGGAAGAATGGGGGTTTCACTATAGAAAGTTGGGATACAAATAGCGAACCCTAAATTGGGTTGTACTCACTACAGAGTACCCCACTGCAGGCTAAACAACAAATACATTCTGACAGATCGAACGCGTCTGGTTGTCTCGGCTTCGCTGCTTCGAGATTAACTGTAGCTGCTGCCGTTGTCGTAGAAAAATTTGTCAGTGTCGTCGCCGTCGCTGTTGCTGCTGCTGCGGCTACCGATTGGTTCGCAAGGAGTTTTTCGAGTCGTGGGAGTGCCGCACGTATCTTCTTATGCTCGGCACGTAACTCTGCGATTTTCTGTACGGAATTATCTCTATTTCCCTCCACTTGGCGATTTGCAGGAAGATGTGCGAGGAAAATAAATGAATTCTAGGTGCTGGTCGACTTACTGCGAGTCGAATTGACTGTAGAGTCGACGAGTTCGAATTCTGCACGTAGCGCAATTCTCCTTTAGTCGAAATATACGTCCGATCTCGGCCGTTGAGAAGAAAACCGATCTGACGCTCTGAATTCCAAATTGTTTGGGCGAAATTCTCTAGGCCGTTGAGATTCGTGTCAAACGTAAGAACGAGAATGAATGAACTAGCAATCAGTTGGGTACAAGTACTAACCTTAATTGGGTTGTACCCTTTATGGGCTACCCCACTACAGCCCTCACAAATGTATAAGCTATAATGTTCTGACACACCCCCATAGGCAAAGTGGGGGAGAAGAAGCGGTCACAAGACCAGTCAAGAAAAGCAAAGCAAGCTCAGGGTGGATCACAAAGTCACCACACAGCCCGAGCACAAGCAAAGGCCCACAAGGCCAGTTCACATGCAGAGTTATATAAATAGAACAAACAATACAGTGATAATACCCTAGCAAGTGCAAGCATGCAGGTATATATATAGATCACAGTACAAGCAGAGTCAAGCAGTAAGCAAGTGAGGCAAAGTAGGCACAAGGCCTAACACAGGAGCAAAGCGCTGATGATCACCAGGCGGAAGTGCCTTGGTGAAGACATCAGCAGTGTTGGCCCGAGTGGCCACGTACGCAAGACGAAGCTGGCCACGTTGCTGCAACTCTCGAGCAAGGAAGTATCGCAAAGCGATGTGCTTCGTTCTGTGCTCCAGTCTGTGCTCCTGAAACAAGGCAATCATGGCCTTGTTGTCTACATACAAAACTGGAGGCGAACAAGGCTGCTCTCCCAAGTCGGTCAGCAGGTAGGTGAGCCAGCGTAGCTCCTGAGCAGCCATGGCCCCGGTGTAGATCTCAGCCTCACAACTGGAGCTGAGAACCGAAGACGAGCAGGTAGACCGCCAAGAAACAGAGTCGGAACCAAGGCTGAATGTGTAACCCTGTGACGACCGCTGCGTAGCTGAGTCGTCAACCCAGGAGGCGTCTGCGTGACCAGTGAGAACAACTGGAACCCGTCCTCCAAGCACAAGCCCCATGCCCAACGTACTGCACAGGTAACGCAGTACCCTCTTCGCAGCATCCTAGTGCACCTTTCGGTGCCTACCGGGAGCCACGTAGCGAGCCAAAAGGCTGAGAGGGTACGCGAGGTCAGGTCGTGTGCACGTCATCAGGTACATGAGGCAACCCACAAGCTCTGGGTACAGACCACTCGGCTCTACGGACTCGTCCGAAGGTGGAGCTGAGAGCGAGTGGCTGGTAGACAGAGGAGTGGGCTGTGGCGAGGAGAACTGGAAGCCGAAGCACTGAAGGACCTGTCGCACCATGTGTGACTGAGTCAGTGTGATGGTGCGCCGTGCTCTATCCTGGGTAATCTGCAGGCCAAGATAGCTGCGCAGTTCACCCAGGTCAGTGCATGTGTGTCTCTTCTGCAGCTCCGACTTCACAAGGGTCAGTGCCTCAGTGTCAACAGTGGCAAAGACGAGGTCGTCGACGTACACAAGGACGTAGAAGGGCGGCAGCGAGGTGTCGGTGCGTAGAAAAAGCGACGGGTCCGCAGTAGAAGGAGCAAACCCAAGAGCCGCAAGTGTAGTCCTCAATGTGTCGTGCCACTCGCGAGGCGCCTGGCGGAGACCGTAGACTGGCCGGCGGAGGCTCCACTGAGTACCTGCAGGAAACGTCTCAGTGAAACCAGGTGGTCGGCGCAGCCAGATCTCCTTGTGCAGGCTGCCCTACAGGAAAGCTGTGCTGAAGTCCAGAGAGTGCAACTCGTAGTCACGCTGAGCAGCAACGTGCAGCAACACCCAAAGAGTAGTCATCTTCGGGGTGGGGGAGAAGGTCTGGAAGTAGTCAAGTCCCTGTCGCTGACTGAAGCCTCGAGCAACGTAACGCGCCTTGAAGGCAGGCGGAGAACCCGGCGGCCGCTTCACCCTGAAAATCCACATGCCATCGACTATGTTCGCCCGAGACGTGGGAACTTCATCGACGTAGGTGCCTGTGGACTTCCAGGATGCCATCTCGGCATCCATAGCTACCTGCCACTGAGAGGAGTAAGGACCCGTAATCGCCTCTGTGTAAGAGCGCGGGGTCGGGATGTCTGGAGCATCCGGGTCTCCCTCAGGGGCAAGCAGCATGGAAGCAAAACGAGGTACAGTAGCTGCAAGACACTCAAAGTCCTCCTGCCTGTCCTCAAGGACGTCCGTGCCAAGAGCACACCCACCCCCGACGGACGGAGGACTTGCAGACACAGACTCAGCAACTAGAGCAGTGGCGTAGTCGAGACGGCAGGCAGCAGCAAAGTCAAGCAGCTCAGCAACAAGAGCAGACGCAGCAGCAAACTCAAAGGAAGGGTCAGTGACAGCAGTGGCGAGGAGACGAGAGACAGTGGGACTGGCAGCACAAGCTCGGTCAGACGCAGTGTCAGGGACCTCAGGAAGAGAGGACTCAGGAGGAGCAGGCAGACGAACACGTAGTGGAACAGAGGAAGGACAGAGGGCCATAGCGTGCGTGCCGGGGACAAGAGGAGGACGCGAACGAGGAGCGCGACGAGCAGTGCAAACAGGCGAGACAAGACGAGACGCAGGCTCACGACGCTCTGTAAGACCGCCGGGCTGCTCACTGTAAGGAGAGGGAGTAGGCAGTGGGGAGGCTGGCTGTAACGGCGGCTGCGACTGGTCAGGCGGTGGACACAAGAAGGGAGGTGGAAGACCAGTAGAAGACGGGACACCAAGAACCTGCTGAAGCAGGGGAACGAAGTACGGTCGCGGCCGCACAGCGCCTCCAGCGCCAGGGTCAACAGCTCCAGCTCCTGCAGCTCCAGCGCCTCCGGCGCCTGGGCCTCCAACTCCAGCTCCTGCACCTCCAGCGCCTCCTGCGCCAGGGCCTCCAACTCCAGCTCCTCCAGCTCTAGTGCCTCCAGCGCCAGCTTCTCTAGGCTCCATAGGGTCTCTAGCTCCAGCGCACCCAACACCACCAGTCCCGGCAGCTCTAGCACCACTGGTACGAGCACCTCCAGGACCAGTAGCCACAGTACCTCCAGTACCGCTAGCTCCAGTAGTAACAGCAGCACCTCCAGCTCCAGTGTCTCCAGCGCCGCCAGCTCTGGGAGCTCCACTCCGACGGTGTGCGCGCCGAACAAGCCACTCACGCAGCTGCTGCGAGGACAGTCGCGGCGAAGCACCAGCAGGACCTCCAGACGAAGCAGCACCCTGAGGCGCAGCACCCCCAGACTCTGCACCCTCCGACTCAGCACCCCCAGGCTCAGCACCCCCAGACCCAGCACCCTCAGACCCTGCACCCCCCGGCTCTGCACCCCTAGACTCAGCACCCCCAGACGCAGCACCTGGAGCAGCACTTGAGCCGGCAGCTACCTGAATAGGCGCAGTACCAGGGAGAGGGTCTACCTGAGACACACCCGAGGGAGCAGGACCCTGGGGCGGGAGGGGGTCTACCGGAGGTGGACCGGGAGCAAGGAAGAGCGGCGGGGGCGGGGGAGGGGCAGAGCGGTAGGGGAAGAGATGGTAGAAGGGAACCGACTCGTCAAACGTGACGTCATGAGACGGGAGAACATCGTGCGAGGTGGGGTGGTAAAACTGCCAGCCAGGCGCGTCAGGGACAAAGCCAAGGAAGACGCAGGGAATGGCGCGGGCGGAGAGCTTGTCCGCGGACGTATCGCGAACAAAGACACGAGAATCCCAGACCCGGAACACCGAAGCATCGCCAACCTTCCCCGTCCAACGCAGTGTGGGCGAGGTCTCTTGCAAGGAGACACGGGGTCAGAGGTTGAGCTGATGCGCAGCGTACCGGACCGCAAACGGCCACAGAAAAATGGGGAGCGGCCGCATGGATCATGGAGGTACGAGCGACCTCCATGACTAATCCAATGCGGCGCTCAGCAATCCCATT